GTGACAGAGGAACAAGTCGGGGTGGATTCCGGCACTGCGCTCGTCCTCACGGCTCCGGGCCCGCGGGGCCGCTGCGCTCGTCCTCACGGATCCCAGCTGCGCTCGTCCTCACGGCTCCGGGCCCGCGGGGCCGCGCCGCGCTCGTCCTCACGGATCCCGACACTGCGCTCGTCCTCACGGCTCCGGGCCCGCGGGCCGCCGCGCTCGTCCTCACGGATCCCGACACTGCGCTCGTCCTCACGGCTCCGCGCCCGCGGGGCCGCCGCGCTCGTCTTCACGGATCCCGACACTGCGCTCGTCCTCACGGCTCCGGGCCCGCGGGGCCGCCGCGCTCGTCTTCACGGATCCCGACACTGCGCTCGTCCTCACGGCCCGGGTCCGCGGGGACGCCGCGCTCGTCTTCACAGATCCCGGCACTGCGCTCGTCCTCACGGCTCGGGGCCCGCGGGGCCGCCGCGCTCGTCTTCACAGATCCCGGCACCGCGCTCGTCCTCACGGCTCCGGGTCCGCGGGGACGCCGCGCTCGTCTTCACAGATCCCGGCACTGCGCTCGTCCTCACGGCTCGGGGCCCGCGGGGCCGCCGCGCTCGTCTTCACAGATCCCGGCACCGCGCTCGTCCTCACGGCTCCGGATCCGCGGGCCGCCGCGTTCGTCCTCACGGATCCCGGCACTGCGCTCGTCCACACGGCTCCGGGTCTGCGGGCCGCCGCGCTCGTCCTCACGGATCCCAGCTCTGCGCTCGTCCTCACGGACTGGGTCCGCGGGGCAGCTGCGCTCGTCCTCACAGATCCCAGTTCTGCGCTCATCCTCGCGGCTCCGGGTCCGCGGGGCGCTGCCGCTCGTCCTCACGGATCCCAGTTCTGCGCTCGTTCTCACGGCTCCTGGTCCGCGGGCCGCCGCGCTCAACTCCATCGCCTGCCCATCGCCAGGCGGTCGGCGACGGGGGGAGGTGGTCAGACGATTCCGTTGGGATCCGCTCCGACCACAGCCGGATCAGCGGCGGAGAGAAGCAGTTAATGCGGATCAGTCCGGATCGCCTCCAGCCGTCGCCGGATCAAGGGCGGTTGATACGGATCTGTTCGGATTAGCCATAGTTCGAGCGATTACCGCCGCCCACATCACTCCAGAGGCGCCGCGCGCGTGCTCGCGTATCCCGATTCCAGGCCGGCGGTGGGCCGCCACACGACACCGGTTACCGACAAAAACAGCCGATGCGACTGGCGTCCGAGTGAGCAGGGATGGGCACCGCGGAGTCAGCGGTGGTGACGGTCAGAGGCCCAGGTCAGGTCACCCCAGGACAGCGGTGCGAGGTCGGGCCAGACTCCGCGTGGTCAGCGGTGGTGACGGTCAGAGGCCAGGTCAGGTCACCCCGGGACAGCGGTGTAAGGTCGGGCCAGATCCGTGG